CATGAGCACACTTGCATGTGCCACCCAGGCTGCAGAAAGGCCTGTCACTAAGTTGCCACTCAGTTTGGGCAAGGCTCAGCCCACCCTGCACTATTCTGCCCAGACAGAAGATATCTCAAAACCCACCCAGGCTTCTAGGCACACACCCCGGCAGCTGAAGACAGCGAGAAGCTCCCCAAAGAACTGAGGAAGCACAAGTTCTGCTCCGAGGGTGCCAGGCAGAAAGGGAGGGGGCTGAAGCTGTGGGTGGCCCCTCCCAGACACCGAGAGCCCAGACATAACACGTCACAGATTACTGATGCTTGAGAGGTGGGGGAAGGGGCTCCAACAGGAGGGCTGGCTACAACCCAGTGGGTTTATGACTAGATGGAGCCTCTCTGTAGACTGCGGCTTTATTATCCCCACTCCATTAAGCTGAGCCGTAACCTGGGGGAGAGAGAGAAGGGCAGCAGGAGAGTGGGGAAGTCTAAGAACCTTTCCTTTTAAGTATCAGTTAACAACTTCAAAATGGGAATACATGAAACCTGAGGTCACAAACACCAATGTCAGCGGACGTGTTACTTCCTCAACTTAAGCTTTGATGAAAAAGAGAATTACATGGAGTTCAGGAGTGAGTATGCCTGTGCCTACACCAAAGCTTCAGGCCATCTGGGAGGGTCAGACACAGGGTTCCTTCATGGGCTTCAGCAGAGGCGGCGGCAGCTGAGGGGTGGGAAGGACGTGGCCAGGTAAAGGGCAGGCAGCCTGAGGAGCTCAGGGACAGGGGAGACAGGCAGGGGGCTTGTAGACTGACATGAGATTTCCCCAGAATGATGGAGACCCTTCAGGGCCGACACAGGGAGGCCCCGGACTTTTAAGGACCCCTCAACTTGGAATGAAATTGGGGAGCCTGGCTCCTAATAGAGATGACCCCAGAATTGATTCTCAGCTGCCCTGGTCCCTGGGTGGTACGGTCGGGCCAGGCCCTCCCTTCCCTCAGACCTCAGTGAGCACCCGAGCTACTTACAGGGCGCATAGAACATGACCAAGGTGTGCTTCTTCTTCTTCAGGGTCTCCCGGAAGCTGGCCCCCAGCAGATGCAGCACGCTTGTCTGCTGCTCTTCCCACGTGGGCTCTGGAGGTGGGGGGGCCTGAGGGCTGCAAGAAGTTTTCCTCACCTCTCTGTTGCGGTTACTGGCTCCTCTGTGCTGGTAACAGAGACCCACCCCGCCCAGCCGTCCTGTCTTCCTCCTGGTCCCCTGGCTCCAGGGTTAATACCAGCCACCTGACCTTTCTGCTCTGTGCTTTCTTTCCCTGAATGCGGCCTCCCTGGACTGGGCTGCTGGCAAGCACGTCTCATTTACCCACAGCGCAGCCACCTGTGCACACGCCTAGAGACACCCTCCGCGTTGCCTGACACTGTCTGCTCGCTTCTACAAGCCTCAGTTTTCCACCCCAGAGCTATTTGCTGTTCATACTCCACATGAAGGATCCCTTCTGAGAGCCCGAAAAAACTACTATTTGTCTCTGGAAAGAGCATTTAACATCAATGAAATAAGAATGAAAACTCAGGCCTTAGGAAGACTTTGAGGATGAAATGGGGAAAGAGGTAGGAAAACATTCTGCAAAGGCTTGAGGGTGGCATCATCCCTTAGGCATTGATACCGTCAGTTAAAGCCCCAATTGGCTAGAATCAGTCATACAAACAGCTTCCTTTGTTTGAGTATTTTCATATCATGTACTGTGCTAAGCACTTTTCACAACAGTCTAATTTAATACTCTAGACAGGTCTATGGGGAAAGTATTATCTCTATTTTACAGATGGGAAACTGGGCTTAGAGGGGCCAAGTAGGTGGCTCAGGGTCACCAGACTGGAGCGCAGGTCTCTGACTGCAAAGCCCCCACTCTTAACCCAGTGATTCCCAAGCCTTCCATAGCAGGGCTAAGCACAGGAAGGACAGAGACCCTCTGTCTAGGACTCCAGAGCACTGAATAGCAATGATCAATGCTCCCAATCCCCTTGGCTCCGGGCACATGTCCAAGTACCATGGGGACCCTGCCTGACCCCACCCCACTTGGTCCCTCCCACAGAACCAGCCTTGGCACCACAGCAAGGCTAGAGAAGCAGGTGTCCATCAGCCACCTGCTTTAGATACAAGAAACCCTTAAGGAGTGCATACTTTTGTCTCTTTTGGAGGAAAATCACCACTTTCCCCTGGTCCCAGAAACAATGGCCTGGCAACTCTTAGAATCCTCCTTCAGTGGATAAGCAGGACAAAGCCGGAGGCACATCTCATTTAGAGACGAGGAACCAGGCCAGGACCTCATCAGCCCACTCATGCCCAGCCAGAGGCCTCTTGGGACTATACTGGTAACTTTGCTTCCACTCCATAAGCTGGTGTTTCTCAGAACATCATGGCTGAGGAGCCCATCCACACCTCCTGAAGCAAAGCTTCAGGGACAGGAGCCCCAGAATCTATGTTTTGAATAAGCACCTCAAACCAGCTGATGCCCACATCAATCCAAGTTTGAGGACCAACATCCCAACAATGGCATACAGACTGTATGAGTTGAACTGTGTCCTCCTCAAATTCATACACTGAAGTCCTAATGCCCAGTACATCAGGAGATAGATACTTGGAGATAGAGCCTTTTAAGGGATAATTAAGTTATGACGATCTATTGGAACAGGACCTGGTGACCTTATAGGAAAAGGAGATTAGGTCACAAACACACAGAGTGAAGACCATGGCCAAGGAGAGAAGCCTCAGAAGAAACTAGACCTTGATCTTGGACAAGGTCTAGTTTCAAGATCAAAACTTAACATCTTGATCCTGGACCTGCAGCCTCCAGAATTATGAAGAAATAAACTTCTGTTGTAAAGCCACTAGGTCTATGCTACTCTGTTTAGTGACCCCAGCAAACTGAGACATAGGCTGAGGGGTGCTTCAAAATCTTTATCCTCAACCCCAAGTCACCTTGGCCTGCCCTGTGGACCTTGTAGGAGGCCCAGCCACCAGCAAACTTGGGACACAATGAGTCCAGTTCTGGGCATGAAGAACTTTGTGTTCCATTCATTTGTCTAAGAGATTAGAGTAAAATGCAGGCAATGGACCTGGGGTCAAGGAGACTGAGAGGGAGAAAGGGGAACCCACAGCTCAATGGAGCCAATGGAGCTGCAGCCAGAGGGGCTGCCAGTGACGTGCTGCATCAGAACATGGGACCAGCACATGAGAAACGGCTGCAGGAAGACAAATCTTGGCTGCTGGGGGTCCTGAGTCCAGCAGAGAACCATGAAGTTTGCTTCTTCTTTCCAAGTCATCTCCAGTAGCCGACAGCCAGCAGCTAAGACGTACTATCAAGATCATAAAACTTACTTTTGCATCCACTCAATAAACTTCTTCTTTGTTCTGAGCACAGGGACTGCATATTTCTCTCCATTCTTAAAATACTTCAATGTAGGAAACTCTGAGATGTGGAATCTTTCTGCCAGGACCTTGTTGACAGTGGCATCGACAGCTGCAAGGACACCAGAGCTCTGGGATGGGGGAAAGGCCAACCATGCATTACAGCTTCAGACGTAGTGCTGACGGAGCAGAGGGGCCCAGGTGCTGGCTCCCCAAACCCATCCCAGACCCGCTAGAGTTTGATTGCGGGTAGCTGGCCACATGGACTCCTAGTCCCAGGGAACAACTGAACATTGGCATGACCATTATTTTTCATTTGGGGGCTGAGACAAGGCCTTTGAATCTGCCCCATTGGCTATATTGGGCAGACACGGCTAACAGCCAGGGACCCAGAAGGGGGAGTAGGCAGAGATCACCTGGAAAGGCACGTGAACATGGCCCCAAAGTCCTTCTACCCCCTTGATCCTTTGCATCCCCCACCCCCCACGCACTGTCTGACCAAGATATGCCTACTCGGGGACACAGAGGCACTGCAGGCCTCCAGGGGCCGGGAGAGCTGCCGCAGGGCTTGCAGAGAAAGTTGTTGTGATGATGCCACATGCAGTGATTATTTAGAAGAGAATGGCGAGGTGTCAGGAAAGGAAACTTACGTCTGCTTCGCCATGGAGGACTTCTGCTGCCTTCTCAAACTCCGGCTTCATTTTCTTACAGTGTCCACACCCTGTGGGGAGAGAGCAAGAAAAACCATTCCCATGGCTGCAGCCCCAGCCCCAGCCCCAGCCCCAGGGGTGTTCTCTTGCACCAAACTCTGTAAGCGAGCTCAGCCCCATTCCCAGACACCAAGGTACCTGGGAGGAAAGAAGACTATGCGCCTATGTGCTAGCTCAAGGAAAGAAATCTTTCCCTAGTCCACCTGAAGTAGGGTGGTGTTGGGGGAAAATACTCAAGGGACAAAGTGGAATTACTACAAACAACACTGGTGTGCCAGGTACTGATCAGAGCTTTTATCTTCATGACAGCCCCTAAAGGTAGGAACTGACATTATCTCCATTGTACAGATGCGAAAACTAAGGCACCAAGAGAGTGGATGACTGCCCAGGGTTATATACACAGCCAGGGGCCACAGGGCTGAGCCAAGTGGACGGAGGCCCCAGCCCAGCAACACGTGCTTCCCTGTTGTCTTCTCTGGAAAGAAGGGAGTCTGGGGCCTTGAGCTAAAAATAAAAATTCACAGAAGCAAAAGTATGGAGAGAAATTAAGTTCCAATTGTCCCCACATGATACAACAGGGTTTGACTTCTTTCCAAATGAATGGCATTTTCTTGAGATAAAGACCACTTTGTCTTTTCCTTTATAACAATATGAGTAAGTGCAGTAAGATGTCATGAATAATAAAATTTGACACATTAGAAGGAAAATAAGCACTCTGTGTAGATGATGGACATCAGCATTTATAAATAATATTTATTTATTAGAAAGAATACTTTCTAGCTTCAAATGTTGGAAGGGCTGGGAGGCAAGAGGTCCCTATTGGGTCAGGCTAGAGGCTGCTCGAAAGGTAAGCACCTGGCTGTGTGGGGACTATGCATATACCAGGCTCAGGGGGTGACAGGATGTGACTCAACCTTCTGGGGGAGTGCTACTGTGTGGGAGCAAGATTGTTAAGAAAAAGAAAGACAAGACAAAAGGAAGACAGAAAGTGACACACCAGCATTATCAGAGAAGTTCCAAGAGACCTCCCATGCTCTCCCAGAAGCCCTCAGAGCCACAGAATCAGCTTCTTGCTTCCATCTGAGCCCTTGGCCAGATGAAAGCTCCTGTCTCCTTCCAGGTTGTTCCCTACAGAGCTCAACTCCAGATGGCACCGAGACATGAACATATGTCTTTCTTAATCTCTCCACTCCTGCCTCTGCCTGGAGGCCTCGGTCCATCTTCACCTCGTCTTTCCCAAGGTCAAGGGGTCCCAGAGCAGCCACTCACCACTTACAGATAACAGAAAGTCTAATTGATCATTGAGCTCCCAGGCAGTGCTGCCAAGCCCTTCTTCTGGACATAGCACTGGAGACATGATCCAGTCAGGGACACCGACCCTGATGAACCCCAGCTCAGGGAGTGTAGTTCTCAGCTGCACCAACATGTTGCTCCTTCCCAAATGAGCCTTAGCAAGAGGGACACCTCCGACCTGCAATTCAGAGGCTCCATAATCTCCACTGGTGGGAGGTACTCCTGCCACTACATAGGGGGCTCCCTACTTCTGCTGGGCTGTGATGCAGAAGAATGGGGACAGAAGGGACTGTCCAGCCTGATGGTCCTGGGTCCACAGGGGATATGGTACACATATGAGGCCTTCAAGAGACAAACAAGAGAAAGGGCACTCTTCTGCCTCCACTCACCAGGAGCTGGCAGTTCCTTCCCTGGACCCTCAGACATGCCGGACACGCACTGAGCACTCATCTTACTGGGCGCCACATTCCAGACTGAGACTCCTTAACACACTGACTGCCACACTAGGAAAAAAATTCTTCCTTGGGGCTGTGGTATTTTATTAGGTCAAGAAATATGTGAGTTATATATGCTTCAGAAGGCCCCAGGCTCAAAACTAGTGTTAGTTAAACACAACTCACATGGCCGCTAAACTGTTAAAGGTGGGGCCTGGAGATTTTTTACTTGATACCTCTGCATGAAGCAAAAGGACAACCATTTAACAGATATTTGAGAAATATTTATTGGTCAGCAATGAATAGAATGGAGCTACTTAAATAATTAGTGGACAACAAGCAGGGTGACCAGGGGTCTGAGAGGATCCCCAGAAGAGGCAGATGAAAGGATGTATGGGGCAAGTTAGAGATGACAGACAGAGGGTCCAGTCAGGGGGGTGAGGACAGCCTCAGAAGAGCAAGGACATCCCTGGGTCCCACTCAGCAATGTGGAATTCTGCTGCCCCTGAGTGGGAAGGGCAGTGAGCCCAGCCTGGCTCTCCAGAGTAGAGATTCTCAACAGTCCCTGGGCCAGACGTGTCTGAGGCCACAATCCCAGCGTAAACCCTCTACACAGGGTTATAGACAACTCTGGGAGCTCGGAGCCTGACAAGAGCCGACTCTGGACCTCTGCCCCTGAGAGGTGTCAAGGTCATACTTACTTTGTAGAAATGAACATTCAGCATCATCTGTCACTTTCTATACACAGGTTACAAAAGTGTTGTTTTGGTAAGTTTGCTGTTTGTTTTCCCCACAGAAACACTTTTACATACAGATTACACGCAGGTCTCCAGGAGCGATGGAAAAGGCCCACTTAACAGAACATACCTAAAGCACAGAGCATGCAGCGTGACTCCCACATCACTGAGCCTGCCCCAAGGGAAACACGCAGCCTGAAACCCAGCTGGGACACCAAGCAGGCCTCTCCTTCTAGGCAGCAGCTGCCACCTCAGCAACATGAGGACGGAGCACTCGATGGGGGCTGGGGAGAGCCAGGCAGGAGTCTAGACCTCTTGGGTCATTGACACTTGAGACTTTCATAAAATCTTCTCCTCCCCTTCATCCACATCAGTCTCTCTGTACCCCAATTCTGTGTATGACTTTAGGCTAAGAGGCCAGAGCAGAGAGAGCCTGATTCCCATGGGAGATGGGGACAGGGAAGGATGACCCACAGGTGTCTGGGCTCAGATGTCCTTCCATGCCAATCCATGTGCAGGAGGAAAGGGAATAGTCTGCAGAAGGTTTTACAGACTTAAAAGAGAGGGGTAAATCATCCTTTGGGGCAATGGCCAGAGTGAAAAAGTTCTGCAACTCTTTAAAGGGACCACCCTCCCCTGAGGGCTCCCCCAGGCTGCCACCCCCTCCTCCCGTTCTCAGGTAGCCCCCTGACTGGGGCAGAGAGCAGAGTCTCATCCTGTGTGAAGAGACTTACAGAACAGGCAGCTCAGAGCCTTCCTTGCCTGTTACCCAAGAATTCAGCCTGCTGTGGAGAGAAGGAAGTGAGTAGTCCCTGCAAAGTCCTCTAAGGCCCACTGTCCCGAGGTGGCTGACTCAGGTGAGCCACACGCAGTGGAGGATGCCTGGGCTTAAGGCTCCTACCCAGGCAGAGAGGCAGGAAGGAGCTGCTCCCTGACCACCTTCTCCCCTAAGCATGACACAGATGGTGCCAGGCCTGCTGCTGGCAGGACCCAGGGTCAAGGTGGACAGTGGAACTGGAGTAGGAGCTGGGAGAGGAAAAACGAAAAGCCAGCCATTGCTATTCGAAGAAATGTCCAGTCAATGTGGCAGAACCTCTGAAGACAAGAGTGTTCCCTGTGCGCTAGTGGGGAGGTCCACCTACCTTCATATTCTACCTTCACACCTTTATCAGGTTCTAGCACTTTGATGCTACTGCCCTAGTGGGATAGCATGTGGGTTCTGTACCACCTGCCAGCTTCTATCAGACTGGTGACAGGTACCTAGAATGAGAATTAGCTCACTGGGAATAGGGGCTGTGACTGGCTTGGGATGTCTACATGGATATGGGATGTTAGCTGGGGTATATGCCAGGAGGCCTCCAGGTTCCGTGGCTATCTCTGGACTTCTGGGCTTGGCTCCCAGAACTCCCCCGCATGAGGCAAGTGCTGTTAATCTGAGCTGGGCTTCCACATACTCTGTCTCAGCAGCCCCACTGAACATGCAACAGAACTTGGCAGGTCTGTTTTGCAGAGCCAGAAATCGTGGTTCTGGAAGATGAAGTGATAAATCTAGCAGGGCCACCACCACCTGTCCCTCTCCTCATCACAGCCCCTACGCTGATGGGTAAGGCCTCTCCATGTGGAGTGCCCACCTCGACAAACTCTCAGGATCCCACTGGGGTCCTGGTTCCTCCTTGGAGTATTCACAGTTCACTCCCATGGAATGACCCATTTCTCTTCTAATCACAAAATGCTTCTTATTCAGATATTTCTGTGGCATTTAATTTTGTGTTGTCTGGTCTCCTGATATTTAAGAGCAGCCAGAGTTTCTTTTCCAAACACGAGTAGCATCAAACCCACTTGCTCACAACTTTCCAACAGCTTCCCATCAAATTCCCTTAGGCTAGGAGGCCAGGGCAGAGAGGGCCTGACTCCTTATCCTGGTCACAAACCCCACACAATCTGACTCCTGGCCTACCCTCCAAACTTAGCTCGGGTTACTTCCCTTCTGTCCTCTACCCTGCAGCCTCTGCCCTTCTTTCTCTTCTGCTATCACACTAAGAGCCTTTCTACCCCAGGGCCCTTGAACACGCTCTCAGCCCTCATGTCCATGCATGACTCACCCTTTTGCATCCCTCAAGTTTTCCCTCAAATTCTACTTCCTTACAGACTCACCCTGACCAACAAACCCAAAGGTATGTCCCCCATCACAATCTCTTCTAATATCCTGTTTCATTTCTTATATGTACTTAAAAGAGCTGGAGTAATCTGCTTACTTGTTCCCTGCCCATCCCTCCACTGGGATGAGGCTCTGTTCCATTTATCACAATAGCCCTGGTATTGAGACTGTGCTCCACATACTTCCTGAATGAATTAACCTCAGGACTAGATTGTTTAGGTTTACATGTGTACACAGAAGGTTTAACAAGACTGAATTCTTCAAGGCCAAGGGACACAGCTTGCACCTGTTAATTTGACTAAACACCTCTAATTAATGCCCAGTGGTTACTGTGCACATCCCCGCCCCCTTCCCATTACCACGTATCTGCTTCCCTTGTACCTTCCTAG